TTCTTGAAGACTTTCCCACAGTACTCACAAGTGTCGCTGCGTCTGCCCTCTTTTGAGCTAGGCCTTCCAGGGCCTGGACCACTAATATGTGGGGTGCTTCCTCCGCTTCCCGTGCCACTGCGGCCTGAGATCCCTCCATCCATCTCCCCCGGAGGTGTGGAAAAGCGTAAACTTCCATTTTCTGATGAGTGTTCTGAGGAGGAGGCAAAAGGCGATTGTCTGGAGTCTCCAAAGTTGAGGAATGGATCTTTTAGCTGTCTAGAGGCAGCATACCCAGCTAGCCACTGGGAGTAAACATTTTCGGTGTTAGGCATAGCTGTAGCAGGCAGGTCGAACTCCTTCTCAAGTTTAATGCGTTTTGAGAAAGGGCTCAGAGAGCTGGGGCTACCCAAGAGCAGCTTTTTGGATAAACCTCCAGAGGCGGATTCACCAGGTGAGCACCCCCTGCCATTAACAGTGCCATCGTCAATGCGATCTGATTCTCCAGCTACTGAGTCTTCATCGCAAGTGTCTCTGTGTACCTCCGATTCAGACAGGTGCCCTCGTTTATGTTTTTCTCCAAGGACCTGGTGAAAGGCCTCACTGAAGTGCTGCATGGAACTCAAGACCATCCCTTGCATGACATCTGGTATGGAACGGTTCTCCTCACCAGACCTGGAGTTGTTTTCATGGTGACGGGCTGCTTCTAGATTAATGCCAAAGCCATAGTCTGTTCTTTCATTTTCATTTAAGTCCTCCTCCTCTTCTTCTTCTTCCTCTTCCTCTTCCTCCTCCTCCTCTTCTTCTTCCTCATCCCCATTTTCTGGAATCATGTTGGGATCATTCTCACTCTTAAACTTGGCCACAACAGACTTGAGGGCACTACTTGCACTGCCAACGAGGTCACTGGTTCCAGGCTCTGGGGAACTGGCTGTGGAGAGACCGTCATCTGATTTCACTGTCATGGGGGATGATTTGTGCATGTGTGTTTTCATGTGGCGCTTTAACTTGCTTGCCTGAGTGCATGCATGGTCACAGAGGTTGCACTTGTAGGGCTTTTCTCCAGTGTGGCTTCTACGGTGTACTACTAAATTACTCTGAAACTTGAATGTTTTCCCACAAAATTCACAAGACTTGGACTTTATTGGAGGCTGGGAGGGAGGAGGAGCTGACTGAAGAGGAGGAAGGGGTGGGGTGGCCAAAAAGGGTGGCTTGTTGCCTGGTTGGAATGGTTGCAGTAACCTTTGCATAGGGCTGGGCCGGCTCGGTGATAATGGTGGACTAGAGGTGTTTCCAGCTAACTCTCTAAGTCTCCTGGAGAAATCCATAGCTGGTGGCTCCATAGCCATGGGGTTCAATCGCAGTACCCTGTCAAAGGCACTAGGGTGATGGGTTGCAAGAGCCATTTCTTCTGCACCCAGGCGTTCTATGCGATGTGGATCCAAATGATGTCTTGGGGGAGGGCTAAACAAAGGAGGTGTGGGTGGAAAACGCCCTTCTCCAAGACCTGAAGCCTCTCTCGATACTGATCCAGGTATTCTTAACAGGTTAAAAGGGTTATTGTCTGCAATATGAATTCCATGGAGTGGTGGCTGTGAAGGACATTCTGCACCTAGTCCTGATGGAATACCAACCCGCGGTGTCAGGGGACTTCCATGCTCACTTTCTAAGTAGATTCTTAATCCGTGGGTATTCTGTGCATGTTGCAAGAGAAACCATGCGCTGTTGAAAGGCTGTTTACAAGTTGTACACGTGTAGCTGCTGGGCTCATCTTTACCTGCAAAATAATACAACAGCAACATAAATGTTTAATCACTGAATAGCTTATCAAGGATTGATCGCTTTTTTTTTGCCATCTAATCTTTCCTTTCCATAACATTGAATCGGAAGTGGAAAACAGAAATCTCAACGACTGCATAACGATGGAAGAGGGAGGGAAGCATACACATTTAACCGTATCAAATCAGCACTGACTCCCTGCCTTTTTTTCTCTCCCTAGACACAGAAGAGGATGCGAACAGGTAACAGTGTTAAAGATCCATCAAAAAGATGATTAAGTCAATTAATTCTAATTATGGCTCCACAGATCTTACCTGGAACGGGGCCTGCTAATATTTAAAAGCAAAAAAAAAAAAATGTTACCAAAAGTGTCCTTCAGAAACATATACATTGGTTAAAGAAGCAGCCTGAAGTGTAATGATAGCTAGCAAGCTGAGAAATGTTATATTATCATCCTCTTCATTATTCTGAGAGACTAACAATGTGTACAAAATTAGACAACATCTCATGCCCTGAGCAGGGATTCAGCTTCAATTGCGGGGGAGGGGGGTGGAGGGAAGAAATAGAAAGATGCAGTTCAGCTAGTCAAATATCTGGACAGTATCCAAGAAGCCTGGACACATGCCCTATTGGAGTCACATTATTTCTCTCACTCTGAAAAGAATCTGAGGATGGTAAATGCCACTTTGGCAAGTAGCTAGCTAACTCTATTTCATGATAATTTATTTTCAAAGATAACATG